TATCAGTTAACAGGTAATGAGATATAAAAAAGAAAAATGCGGTTGCCTTGAGGGTTTTAAAAACAAGATAGAAAAAAACGAATGCAAGCGGGCACCTATGCATATCGTGTGCGCTATTGAAGTTCTAGGCATTATGATGTGATCGTGTGTGTGTGTGTGTGTGTGTGTGTGTGTGTGTGTGTGTGTGTGTGTGTGTGTGTGTGTGTGTGTGTGTCTGTTTGTTTGTCTGTTTGTTTGTGCGTGTGCGTATGCGTATGTGTGTTTGTTTAAGCAGATGCACGCATGCATACGTACATACGCAGAGCAGCTAGTGAACTGGATGGCTGACCCATGGATAAAGCTGCCGTGTACTTTGCATTTCACCGTGCCCTCCCTTCCACCAGGCCGCAGTGATCATTTCTACAGTGACCCTGGCCGGAGCGAGCATCTGGGGCGTGACAAATCTGCGACAGGAATTCGATCCTGTGTTATTCATCCCCCAGTCTTCGTACCTTTTTAAATTCTTGAGTCGCATTCTTCACTACTATCCTGAGGCAGGTGAGTGTAAATGACAGCGTATCGTTTTATAGGTAAGAAATTTACTGAAGTATGAGGAACATTGTAATACTGTGACATATTATTGTTTAATAATCTAAAAGTAAGTTCATGGCGGTATGTGTGTATACATACATACATACATACATACATACATACATACATACATATATACATACATACTTTCCCTATGTACACATGCAATCTTTCTATGTCACATACCACACGTTACTTTTTAATCTCAACTTTCACCTATTTACTTGTTTATAGATATGTACACACACACACACACACACACACACACACACACACACACACACACACACACACACACACACACACACACACACACACACACACACACACACACACACACACTCACACACACTCATACACACTCACACACGTATATGCATATGCATATGTATATGTATATGCATATGCATATGTATATGTATATGTATATGTATATGTATATGTATATGTATATGTATATGTATATATATATATATATATATATATATATATATATATATATATATATATATATATTTATATATATATATCAAGATTGGGGATGAACAATAAGAAAAAAGTAATTGAAAGAGAATATCAGAATTGTAACAATTACCCCCTTTTTTGCAGGAGAGAGAGGAACTCTGTACCTGGGGACTCTTAACTATTCGCAGGAGCTTCCCAAGATTGGCCAGCTGTCGACACAGATGCAGGAAAATGAGTACATTTCCTTTGTAGATTCTTGGTATGACTTGATGGTCACTTACACAATGCAAGATACTGGAATAGGTAAGGACATATTGATACTGTACTAGATGTTAATGAATAATGAGTATATTTTGTATAATTGTTGGATAATTAAAGTGCCTAGTCCATGAGTATGTGTTTTATGTGTTTAAATAAATATACTCAGTCACACTTAGAACCCTGACAGGAAAATAATCCCACATCTTGTATCTTAATGATCCAGTACACACTGCGAGTTTTTGAAATAATGAGAAAATATAATAGGTAATTACAAATCATTCAGTATTGTAGTATAAGTTAATACCACACAAACTATGAATTATTGCAGCACTTGACAAGACATTTGGAAGTCACATAAATCTGGCAATTGTAACTTTCCTAATTTGGCCTAAATTACATAGTTAGGATGGAATGCTAGGTGAAATAGACAGTAGTACAATATATCTTTATCAAAATATTATCAAGGGCATGGATATATATTGTACAAAACTCTTAGCACATCATAAAAAGGTAATATCCATATTGTGTATACTGTCACAAATATGGCCAGATTTGCCTTTATTAACATTATGGTAACTACGGTATTTATTTTATTGCACATCTCCCCAACAGGTAATATCTCCTTTCCTCCTATATCTTTCAGATATAGGAGGAAAAGTCATGAATGAGACTTTTTTCAGAGAAATATTATCAGCCTTCCTCTTCTCCCCGAGTGGGTCACGCTTCCAAACTTATTTCCACTTTGATGGCAACCTGACCATAGGCAGACCAACACCTCAGCTCTTGGTGCGTACAGATGCCAGACGTGTATGAAAATTTCCCACAATTTTGTTAGCTTTGATAATTTATCAAATGCTGGTTTTGTTTTCGTGGTTTATTAATGGGGGTATGATGTATAATTCCTTTCACTTTGTTTATTTGAGTAATATGCTGTCTTTATGTCTGCAGTCTTTTGAATGCCAAGTTTTCCTCTTGACGATTCAAGAACTTTTTTGAACTTAATCAACATCTATTGTGGTAGCTGTTGCTTTAGTATACTTCTTTATATATGTAGTTTAGTCATTAAATTATATTTCATTTGGTTTAATTATGCATATGCCTATTGCTTACTCTTCTTATTCTTGATGTTTATTTTAATCTATTTTTTTTTTCTTTTAGGCTTGCAAGTTTGATTATAGCCATAGGACACTAAATGGTTCAACTGAGCAGATTATAGCCCTGGACCAGCTTAAGGAGTTGATAAATTATCAAAATTTTTCTGGTAAGTGTACATTTTATGTGCATGTAATAGGATAATTCTCATCTTTATTTAACACAATCATTATAAGTATTTATGAAATTATGAAGCAGTAGCAGTGATATTTTTATGGCATTTCTCTGACTTTACCAAGTTGTTTTTGAACTTTCCAGGCTTTGCTGGAGCAATTGCCTTTAATTATGCAGGTTGGGAAACTGATAAGATTATTGGCACAGAGTTAATAAGAAATATTTCCCTTGCTATGGTGGCGGTCTTCATCATGACGCTTCTCCTCCTTTCAAATTTTGTTACATCGCTATATGTTCTTCTTTGTGTTTCTTTGACACTTGTAAGTATTTAATTTGTCTCTTTGATTCATAAAATTCCATAGGAAATGCATCATAATTTCAAAAGATTGCTTTGCTATATTTTGCATACTGTAATGGGTTGACACCCTGTGAATCTAGTTTCCAAATGATAATATTTCTAATAGTCTTGCATGTAAACTGTGAATTTATTATATTTACTTCATTAAACTGATCAATAAGAAATTATACTATGTATAAGTGGTACCATGGAAATATACAATTTATTATTTTGTCGAATTATAAAATTTCTTATGTTATATGCAAACCTTGTTAATCAGAATGGGGACACTTTATAGTCAGTCAGCTGCATTTCCAGTATAAGATATATCTATCCAGCTAAAGACAGACACATGCAAATGAATATATTCAAGTTAGTCTTGCTCAGTCAAATTAAGAGTAATATTATGTATTACTTAAATAGCATTTCAGAGATGGATTTCCTGCTGATGAAAGGTCTTAACCCCCCACTCTCTCTCTTTTTTCTCAGTTTTATTTTATATATTTTTTATTCTGTTTCTTCTTCTTTTTTTCCTTCATGCTGTGCCATAGTCAAGGGCTGCACCAACCATAAGATTGCAAACCACTCTTTCATAAGATTAGTGGAACACATTATAAGATGGACTTGCTATTGAATTCCAGGTTGATGTGATGGCATTAATGTCTTGGTGGGATCTAACAATTGACATCATCTCTTGCATAAACTTGGTCCTCTGTATTGGACTTTGTGTTGATTATTCTGCTCATATAGGTTTGCATTTTCTGCAGGTAAGCAACAACAATCAATATATGTATTGTACAAGTAACATTCTGTGAGAATAATGAATGTACTATGGTTTTACTATATGCTTATGATGATTCTGTTATGAATTTGCCATTCTGATGGGAGTTCTGAAATATGTATATCTAGAATGAAATTAATTGTTTTCACTCTATGTTGGCAAAAGCTAATTCTAATATGGTGCCGACTTAAAAGGTAAAAGGGACCAGAAATGAAAGGGCCCACACAACGCTACATGAAATGGGGCCACCTGTAATCAACGGAGCTTTCTCAACCTTCCTCTCCTTCGCCCTGCTTGCTTTCTCCGATTCACACGTTTTCCTGTCATTTTTCAAAGTAAGTAAGGAGTTGTCACTTATTGTTTATAATTGATGTCTGAATTAACAAATTGGAATCTTGGTATACCTTACATATAAAAGACCATAATGAATTTCAATATTAATACTTCATACTTCAATCCTGAAGATAAAATAACCTACATCACAGGTAATTTTAATATGCAAATCTACAGATCTTCTTTGGCACGTGTCTCTTTGGAGTGTTCCATGGACTGACATTTCTCCCTGTGCTCCTGAGTCTAATTGGCCCAGCACCATACAATGACACATTGATTGCCATGTCACAGGTAGATGAGGCACACAAATCAGAAGCTCATAATAAATGCTCCATAGAGGTGAAAGTTGAAGAGACCACATATGCTGTTGTAAGTAGTGATTAGGAGTGGATTTAAATGCACTAGAGATATTACAGCAATCATTGATTTTTGTTTGAAATTAAAAAAGGTTAAGAGATTTAGCTGTAATAATAATAAAAAAAAAACTTTTATTTCTATTTTTAGAAAGTAATGTCATAAGTTAGTTTATCTGTAAGTACCTGTCTTGAAAGTGCTAAGCTGGTTTGAATAAATTACTTTTTTTCACAAATGCTTTTGATAATTTACATCCATACTTGCTTAACATTGCATATACCTGCAATCATTTATTCAAAGTACATATGCTTGTACAAGTTATAATTTCTCATGATCTAACGTCACATTCTTTAATTAATGTGTGATCAAATATTGTAAACTGCCCTAACAAATGGAATTTTTCTTGAGCTTGGTTACTGCTCTTATATTTTTTAAAATTATTTTGGAGATTTTAAAATTAACTCTAACTACTGCAAATAATAATTATGAAAGAAAGCTTAAAATTCTGAATAACAAGTGTGATGTTTACTTAAGCTAAGTGGTGAGGCTTGACCTCAAGTAAATAGAAAAGGTCTTAGGCTACATTATTTTGTGAAATTATACACAAAAAAGGATAATAATTGCAGTTGTGAAGGATATATCATTTTATTTATTTTATAAACTAACAAATTACAAAAATAGAAAATGAGTATCAAGAGAAATAACAATGTTACCTTCACCAAGAATATATGGCATCTGGACTCGAGATGTCCTTCCTTATCCTTCTTAAATATGTATCACATTCACTGGTGTGCAATCTGCTCAAAGATCAACAGATTTCAGAACAATCTTAACAAGTCTTCCATGGAACTCACAAAAAGAGTTTCATATCACAATGCGAGCAGATGCACAATTTTAAGGTGCAAGTTCAGAATCCAGGATGGGTACAGGAGTACTCACAGTAATTCCTTCTTCAATACCCTGCAGGATCCGTTGAGATTACTTATTTACTGGAAGATCCCAGGAAGACCATCAATTGGTTAGGCTCCCCATATACATGTACATAAATAATCAACAACAGAATCTGAAGTATGTCATAGCAGATTATACTTGGAATTAGAGGTAAAAGTAATTATAAATATAAAAATACTAAGTCAATCTTGGAATGGATAGATCTGTAAAATCACAATCGTTTTGCGCATAAGATTTGTCAATCTCGACACATTTTGAACCCTGCTAAGTGCAAACATAGTAAAAATGAGATTCTAGGCAACAATACTGTATACTGTCCTGTTGTAACTTTCCATCATTTATATAATCTAATTATATACTCTTAACTATCAACCATTCCTAACCTTTAAATATAGCTTTGAGACTCTGTTCCAGATTTCTAACACCTCTGGAGTTTTCTCTGCAACTGCAATTCTGTGTAACTCAGATTAAGAGAAAGTGCATATCATTTTCCCTCCCTTGTATGGAGTTGATGACATGCAGTCAAGTGTGCGACTATAAAATACCCAAGTATTTTTGTTTTGTTTTGTCCTTAGTTTTCTTTTGTCATGTGTGCACATCTTCAATAGAATACAGGAAGTGAGCCTTCCATCAGTTCCATTACTGTTTGTGTATGATCAGATCCCATGTCTCTCTCCAAGCTAGGCTCATCACCTGGTCTGCAGTGAGATCTGCAGTACCATAGGTTACAGGCGCAAAGAACCAAAACACGTAGAGGATGGACACCATCCACAAACCAACAACAGCCAGATAGACCTTGGCTAACTTTGCAGCCTTGAAATTTTCTGATATGAGATAGTAACCATGTTCTATCATAGCAGCCAAGAGACAAAGCTGAAAGGAGTTAAATTTCCAATTAGTAAAAAAAAAAAACTACTTATTGGCAAAGATTCAATCATTATTAAATCAGGGATATCTTTAACATGAAAATACATAGATGAATATGTAAATAAAAACTAAGCAAACGTTTACTTACTTTGAATATGTAAGCAGGCATATAATGATGAAGGAAGAGTGTTCTGTCTACAAGGAAGTAAGGGAAGTAATGGATGGCAAAACCTACACCCAGAACCTGAAAAATAAATTGATTTTTAAGTAGTAAAATTTCAATGGTTGAATCACTCATAATTTACAGATAATATGATTATAGTGAAATACATGTCATTATTACAACTTGCTGGTTGGTTCTGAATATAAAATATAATATATATAGATTGTTTGCTTCAATTTGCATGTTATATTAATTCCAACTGAGAGAATCTTATATTGCATCCAAGTCTAAAGAGAAAGGGTTCACTTTACAGTTTCTGCAATGAAAATTACCTCTCCAATTGTGCAGAACTTGTTCCACATTGCCTCTGGTAGGTCATAACAAGCTCTCTGACGTCTGAGAAGGTATAGGATGAAAAGTCCCAAATATCCCACAAGGGCAACTGTTCCTGACAACCATGTAACAATATTTCCTAGGAAGTGAACTTGGGCCTGTAAAGAAAAATGTGAAGACAATTATAATCCTAACTCTTCTGGAATAACAGCTCCTATAACTTTTGCAACAAACTTCTGTAACTGAAATTTAATAGTGTCAGTGACAGAACTTACATTGCTATTTGCTGAAATCCAGTACGCAACTCCTCGCTTCAGGAAAAGCCAGTCCAGGGGATCTGAGGCATACATGTGTCCAGCCACATTCTCCTGATTGTTGAAAAGCATCTTGTACTGCAGCTCATACAATTTATTCCAGAAAGTTAGATTCTTGCGTTCTGTGGGGATCATCTCGGAACGGATCAAGTCCTTCTCACGTTCCTTTTTGTCCTCAGCTGTTGGAAGAAATTCGGTGTTATGTGTTGCACACTTTAGTACCAGACGTCAAGGTAGCAAGTAAACTATTTTAAATTTCACACTTATTAACAACTGCTAAGGTAGGAAAATGATCTGGTAAACATTCTAGAAACATTTATGAAAACAAATCAACACAAAATTGATATAAAAATCGTAACCTTTAAGAAAAATGATTTACAATCTCCCATTCAATGTATACTTGCCCTAGAGGTGCCAGGTAATCACACTATCTATTGTCATTTCCTTTTGTGATCCCCCCTCAAGCACATAATGTGTGTGAGGGGATTATCCTATATGGGCTCAGCTATCAAGGAGCCAATTAGCAAGCCTACATGTCCTCAGCTGATTTCCCCTTTCATAGAGTTTTTGGAAATATATATATATATATATATACTTTTTTTATCGATTATATTATTGATTATATTATTGTTATTGATAGTATGATTATTATAAGGTCATTAACATTACTAATATCAATAAAAAATAAAGACTCTTTCCAAAACTCAAGGAGGTAAACAGGTGTGCTATGTTGACTAGTAATTAACTCCTTGGTGATTAAGCTGTGGAGTTGATTATATTTTAAGATAATCAATAAACCAAGAGACAGTGGACATAGCATGAACTCTTTCCATCCCAGCATCAGTGGGTTAACATTCTTCTTAAAAAAAAACAAAAAAAAACTGCTTTATGTATTTTACTATGAAAAGGCCGAATTTAGTCACCACTTACTTCGCGTATAGCGATGTTCCTCCACATTCCAAATGGTATCTTCCTGTTCAAGAACTTTGTCAGTTACAACCTCGTGCTGACGGAAGCCCCAATCGGGCAGCTGACGGCCAGAGAACTTCAGAGCCTGAGTTGAATTTACGTGGATCAGGCGGATCTGTGGAGAATGGGAATAATGATAATGAGATAAAGAAAATGATAAAATAAAAATATCAGTAGTTGTAATATCCATATCAATAATGATATTCAAAATATCAGATCTAATAAATAAGAGTGATTTAAGGAAAATTATGAGACATTTCAAGCATATGGGCCCTGTTGTAAAATATGTGAAGTTTACGAATTCTTACCTGACTCTCAATAGCATGCCAAAATCCATCTGTTTGATCTGCGTTGAGGAGTTCTAGGCGCCACATAGTCTGTGCTGGCATTGAGACATTGTAGTCTATATATGCAGCAACCTGTAAATTGGAAGAATTATTTATTTATTTATTTATTTTTTGTAAATATTTAAATATTTACTATTCATCATGAGCTGTTTCTCCTCCAAGACATATCACTGTATAAATGCTATTACACTGAAAACCTTTACCTCTTGGTTGTGTGGAGACATGGGTGCTGCTACATCATGGGCATTGAGTGCTCTTGAAGTCATGCCATGCACTAGCTGAATGACGTCACCGTTCCTAATAGGTACTTGAGGTTCGGACACAATAAGCTCCTCTCTGATTAAAAAAAAAAGGGAATGCATTATTAATTTTCTTTTGTTTCTAAAATAGTTAATTTCAAGCTAGTATGAAAAATCATCAATCGCATGTCACAAACGTGAAGTCGTCCACACTTACATTTCTGGCTTCTTGATAATCCACCAGTTGTTTACATCCTTATAGCTATAACATGTAACTTGCTGCTGGTGTGAGGAACCTCGTCCGTCGGCATACTTTACAGGATAAAGAGCATCGTGCGAATGTATCCAGCAGGTACGGCCGTGTGTGTGGCGGAGGGTAATCTGTGACCCGTGGAGTATCTTGACAGGCTGGTTGGATATTATTGAAGCTAAGCCGCCCTGTAAATGAAGAAGACACAAGGCAATTTTAGTGATATCTATAGAATAAAATAATCCATACATCATAATCCAAGTTTCCCATTATCCCATGAAAATTATGTATGCTCATAAATCTATTGTATAAAATATGTAGAAAAAGAACATACCTCAAGACTAGCTTGGAAGGCAGAAGTCATGATATTGTCATTTGGTCCTGCCTTGTATAGCAGTGACAAATGCACATAGAAACAGCTAATGTAAAGTGTAAGTGGGATGGTAATGAAGATCAATACTCTTGTCAATAAATGGCCAGCCAGCTTTCGGTCCGTCACGGTACGGTCACCAACCATGGTCCAGAAGTCCTTTGCCAAGATTCCAACGCCCAAGAGGAGGGTGAAGATGCCGAAGTATCTGACACTGTGGGTTGCATTAGGAAGTAATTAGGAAGCCTATATGCACAAATTTACTGTCAAGCTCAGAGCCTTTGACTTTCACAAATAATGCATTTAATCAACAATGATTTAATTTAGTTACATGAAAAATGACTTACCACACAGCTGCTCCTAGGGAAGCTGAACCAAGGATGAGGCACACAAACCAGGGCAGGGTGTATGGCTGCTTGTATAGGTTCCTGAACTTCAGAATGCACAGAAGCCCAAACATTCCAAAGAACATGAGAATGCCTTCCATCAGAACGAAACGGGACTGTGCCAAGATAGCATTGTCTGAAAAATTAAAAATGTAATGAATGTTTATACAAAGCAATGTATATATAATGAATACTTTATACTCTGCAAATAGGTTAAATCAAGATTATTTTGGGATTCTTTTAACAGGAGAAAGTTGAATTTTGGTCACCAGCTTTAGGAAAAAAAATCAAATGCAAACTTAAGCCTATTAATCCCCTTTTGGTAGATTATGTAACAAAGTCCATACCAAATATCATGAGGAAGGCAGCCAAAGCTCCAGCATAGTGTGAGAGGCCAAGTTCTACCATGACATTGTACACTGTTGGCATCAGCAAGGAGCCAAA